GAGTTCCCTGTGCTAGAATGGAACTGAGAACCCAGCAAAACAGGGACAGGTTAGAACAGTGTTTCTCAATCAGTGGTACGAGTACCCTTAGGAGTACTCGATAGAAGTCTGGCACGTATGTCAACATAACTGAAATTTGGAGAAAACTGAATTTTTGTTTTAAGTTTTACAGTATTTTATTATTTTTGTACTTTTTACACCCAAAAATTTCATCGCCTGCCCGGCTATGATTAAGTTATTTAAACAAATGCGTTGCAACGGTAGAAAAAAATTGTGTGTCTGAAAACTGTAGGTACTGGGGATACTTACTTTTTTTTAAAGGGATACTTTATATATTAAAAAAAAGGTTGAGAAACACTGGGTTACAATATCAAGAGATTTCAGTACATCAGACTTAACAATGTTTGCTAAAATCATCACACATCTAGGTTTTTAAGGCTAGACCTAGTCTATAACCCTCTGTTATCTTTAATGTTATCTGTTAGTTGATTTGTGAGACTCTTGCATTCTGAAAGCCTTTACACTGGTGACATGTTTTTGGAATAGTACAGTGACTACGAAATCTCAGAGAGGACCTTCTTTGCTTTAAAAAGAGTTCAATGCCTTCCCATTTATTACATCTATATATTTGAGAGAGTTTGTCTGTTTTTCTGTGTGTCTGTGGTTTTGCTATATATTTGAGAGAGTTTGTTTTTCTGTGTGTCTGTGGTTTGTGTGTCTGTTTTTCTGTGTGTCTGTGGTCTCTTTGTTCTAGGACCACCAAATTCAGTATACAGCTTCTTCTTATCATAACTTAAAAGCAAGGTCGGGTTTGGTTGTGCCAGGAAAATGGGATGTGATTAGAATAGGATTGCTTCTCATAAAACCACACAGAAAAGAGAATCACTAGGTAGGTGAAAGGGGATGACTGTGGGCACCCCGCTTTGGGACTGCCCGTAGGGTTGCCAGGTGTCCAGTTTTGAACTGGAAATCCAGAATTTTAGCTTTCTATTCGGGAAACAAATTGAGAAAATATAAATGTCCAGTATTTTCTAAATAAAATGTAATGTAGATTGTGATGTAATGTCAAGTGTGCCCGGTATTTTTGTTAAAACCATTTGGCAACCCTAACTGCCCCAGTCCCCAGCCTCCCACCCCCAGGCTCCCTTTAAGCAGAGTGGGAGGGGACTGAAGCGCCCCTCCCCCAGGGTCCCCAGCCTCCCACCCCCAGGCTCCCTTTAGGCAGAGTGGGAGGGGACTGAAGCTCCCCTCCCCCAGTTCATTCAGGAACATTGCTGGCTGTTCCTCTTTGTCGGGGAGTGAGGGGAAAGTGCACAGTTTGCTGCATTCCTCACTCTGGCTGGGGAGTGCAGGTCGCAGACAAACCTGGACCTGCCCCAATTAGGGGACAGGTACTCCTCTACCGGCTGTGGCCTCTGGAGCTGCAGCAGCTATGGAGAGGCGCTTCTCACCTGGCCCCAAGCTGCTGTAGTGAGGGTGGGCTGGGGTTGTCCTCTCTCTGGAGGCAGCCTGCATCCTGAACCCCTCAGCGCCACCCCAGAGCAATGATTTAAATTAAGCATGTACATGTTCATTTCATTTTCCAAAAAACAAAAATTGAGTTAAGGACCCGAGCAACACCCAGTAAATTTTCTAGTTTTATATACATATATATATGAATGCAAACTATCATTTATATCTGTTTGTAGGGTAGGATTTTCAAAGGGAGTTAGACTCCCGTAGGAGTCCATGGAAAATTGTACCCTTACATGATTAAATATTCATAAAGTGCTTAAACATGTAGGGCCAAATCTTCACTGCCTGGCACCTTGATTAGCCATTTCCACCACTACCTTGCAGAATTAGGTCCACATAAGTCAGCTTACATCAACCTCTCTCAGCAAGCGTAGACTCTAAAATGTAGCTCTCGCCAACTACACTGACTTAATAACCCCACCACTGCGAGAGGCGTAGTTCTTAAGTCTACGGAGTTAGGTCGACACAATGTCAATGTCAGATAATGAGGCCTGGTCTATACTACATGGGAAAGTCGAAGTAAGATACACAACTCTTGCCATGGGAAAGTCGAAGTAAGATACACAACGCTTGCTTTTCATGTGTAAATTAACTAGAGTTGACATATCTTACATCACATTTCTGCACCATCCACGCAGCAGGAGGCCAATGGGAGCAAAAGCTCTTGTCAGCTTCCCTTATTCCTCCTGAGAAGCAGGAGTACCAGTGCCGATGGGGGTGCCCTTTGAGTTTAATCTAGCAGGTCTATACTACACCCACTAAAACAAAAGCTGGAAGTTCAACCACAGCAGCGTCGATATTCCGTGTAGTGTAGACATGCCCTGAGTTGCTGACATGGACTGTTGCTGCCTTTCAGAAGCCATCCCATAACCCCCTGACTGCCAATTCCATCGGTCCAAGCACTCCTGGTGAGGACATGCACTGCCAGTGCTGACACAAGGAGAATCGTGTGGATGTACAAAAGTGATGCAATTACTGCAGTGGCTGTACATAGATGTAACTTAAGTGAACTTAGCTTTGTAGTGTTGACTTGCCCTAAGAAAAGAAATAGGCATGGAAAGCAAAAGATAAAGGCCTGATCTTGCAAACCCTTCTTCACAGGAGCAGTGAATATTATTGTTGCTATTACCTGTATTACTGCAGCACCTATGAGCCTGTCATGGACCAGAACTTTATTGTACTGTACAAACACAAAACATGGTCCCCAGCGCAAGGGGCTTAGTCCCATTTATTTCATGGAGACTATTTTCATTGGCAAAGACTGTTTATATGAAAAAGAGTTTGTAAGCTCAGGCACGGAACACTAAGTGCTAGTATTGTTTCATGTGTCCCCAAATGACATGTATATTTGTAACACGGGTACAAAGGTAATGAGCAATTCTGCTTTGAACTACACCAACTGCATCTAATTAGAGGTTGGAATTGATATGGTTGAGGCCCAGGACAACTGGGAAAACTGACCTGCTCAATCTGAACTGCATTAGCTAATACACAAATCTAATTATATGAGCTGATTTGTATATTCTAGGACTCTCATGGCTGCTGCCTCTTGTAGTAAGTAAGTCTATACCAGGTGTTTGGATATGCACAGTTCAACTCATGATAAGTCACTGCTGGGCAAGTAAGCAACCCCCATGTGGGGACGGAGCCAGATGTCCCAAAAGCACCAGTTTTTCAATAGTAACGCTGCACTCTTATATTGACTATCTTATTTATCCTCTTAATGTCCCTGTGAAATAGGTCAGTACTTATTATTATCTACATCTCACAGAAGGGGAAACTGATGCACATAGAAGAATGACTTGCCCACAACGGTCTGTGGCAGATTTTCAGCTGGGGTAAATTCTCATAGGGAGCATATTGAATTATGCCAATTTATCCCAGTTGAGGATTTTCTCATGGTGTAATGAGTCTGGGATCAGAACTCAAGAACGATTTTTTCAACAGGGAATTTCATCATTATTGAAATCTTCATTTCCAGGGACCTGGATTCAAATTTGACTTGGTAAAATTTATACCATCAAAGTCAGTTTCATAACTATACCCTAATGGGCATTCATTCACTTCACAAAACCACACACTGGTAGCTCTGCTTAGAAAAGATCTGTAATCGCTGAGGTGTACTGGCACAGACAAAATATATAATTGCCCCGTTACCATGGTACAAGTCACTAATAGCCCCATAATCCAATAAAGAAAAAAAAATTATCACAACCATTTTCATTCCCCTGTAATAGTATAACTAGAGGGATTAGACTATAGCAGTATTGTGCTTATACAGAAGCAGAACAAATTCTATTTCTCTGCACAATCATATAACTAAGACATTTCTGAACTGGTTTGTGTCTTTAAAAGCACAGACCATATGAAAGAGACAAAAGAACTCAAAGATCAATGAGTAGTGCAAATAAAACCTTTAAATAGCCAAGTCCTGCTTTAAATAAGACCATCTCAAATATAATAAGCAAGAAATCATGCAGACATATAGAACGTTAGGTATCTCTTAGCTATGGGAATTACTCTCATCACAAAGTCTGGTATAGCTATTCCTGTTACTAGGATTTAGGAGGAATTTTGAACCATCAAAACAGCACTTTCACTTGCACTTACAAAATAAACAATAACGACAAAGTTGACTCTGTAACACCACATTGGAGGCATATAAGCATTGGACTAGTTGAAAAAGAAGCAAAAAGATCCACACAGACACTCACCAGCTTTTTAACCTGAGTTTCCAAATAGGGATGACTCAAGGTTTTAGGATAAAGTACTTCTTGTTTCCCACACACAATTACTGCTTTCTGCACAAACAACAGAAAGCAGATCAGTTTGAACCTCACTAAAACTGTACCAACCAGTTGTATAATGATTACATTCCGAATAAGCACTTGACAATTATTCTATAACTATTCAGTTTACTAAGACATTTCAAAGATTTTATAGGATTTTTTCCCTCAGTAATGTCAAACAAGCAAAAGTTGCTACAAAAATTAATACAAACAAAATAAGAATGTCAATTATTTTACACATTTTTCCTGTGCTCAGAACCCACCTGCCTAACCAACAGGAGAAGCAAAAAGATTCCTTTTAACACTGATAAAAAAAATCTGAACCAGACTTGTTAAAGCCACACAAATTGAGACACTCTGCATTATATCTGTCTTTATGTGGAGCCAAGATTTCCACGCCTGGTAAAGAGTCAAGGAGCTGCACAAGTAAATCACAAAGAGAATTGCAGGTTCTGGTTTGAATACTAATTAAAATCCTTGTAAGCAGTGATAGATCATAACAGAGGACAGCAACCGAAACATGCTACAGAGCTCTAGGCACACTGGAGATCTTTTTGAAACAAACTAGATAAGCCGGAGCACATGAAATTCAGGCTGCTTTCCCTTGATTAAATAAACCACAAACACTGCAAGGAAAATCAGATCTTTTGGTTGGAAACCCGCCACAGTGTGGAAAGGTAACAGTGTCCAACCCACCTTTTTCTCCTCGTGTATTCTCCCTTTCCCCCCACCTTGTGTAGTCTCTCATAAAACTCGCCGCTTGGTTTTAATGGGAAACTGGTAACGTTGCTCCGAGGGTGTCTGCAGCAGAGTGGAGATTGTCATTGATTTGTGTGAGGAAAGTTAAGCCTTGCAAGGAGCGGTTATGAGAATTCACTCCCACCACTCCCTCTAAACCAAAAGTATTTGGCAATGAGCCTTCGCTGTCCACCTGTACTATTAAGGTCTAACCAGCGTGTGGGACATGTACCAATTTTACCCGTAGCTTTTCATGCTTCAGTTTCAAAACAAGTAAATTAAGTTCCTTTGAAACAGTCTCTGTTTTAAAAAGCTTGATGTTTAAAGATGTAGCATACCATTAATGACAGACACTCTTTGGGACAGATCCTCCCCTATTTTAATCTGATATGGCTCCAAGGAGTTAACTCATTTACACCAGTTCAGAATCTAAGATCAGAGTTCTCTGGATGGGGTTTCTGGTTTTTGTTTGGTTTGGTCCATTTTCAATGGTGAAACTTGCTGAAATGAAGCAAAACTGTTAGGAGTCAATGTTTTCACCTCTTTTTAGAAGGATCTGGATATCACTTAAAGCATCAAGTACTGTGCATTAATTTGCAGAATAGGAAAGAAAACAAAGGCAAGAAGCACACAAATGAAGTTTTATTTAGTTAATAAAACCCAACGGGCAGTATTGGTCAGGGTGATTATCTCACAAGTCAGGCGATGGGTAAGGCACAACGTGGGAGACTACAAGACTTTAACCACCAGTAGATACAGTAATCCCCTCCACGTGCACAGCCTGGAGTTTCTCTGAGCCATTAAGGGAATTTATTTATAGTCAAGTGAAAGACAGAAAGAGAGAGAGAGAGAAACAATTAGACATACGCATTTTCAGGGCACTATTCACGAAGGAGTGTATCACCAACAGACAATCAGAAATCCACATTTGTGTCCAGGGTTCAAAAGCCACCACAGAATAATATTCATTCATGCCAAGGGCTGTCCTGCATCAGCTCTGTTCTGATGAATTAGGCACCCACCCGGAATGGTTTTGCTCAGGTGATGTAGACTTATGTGAGCAGGCCCATTGGACCTCCCTTATTTTTTCCATCTCTATACAACAAGATCAGAAGTTGCCGAGTGCTGCAAAAAGCAGCGAGAAATACCCTTGGCAAATGTAGGTACTTAGTGCATATTAATTATTATTGTATTAGTAACAGCGATGATGAAAATAATAATGGTAATAATAGTGGGAGGCGGGGTGGGGTGGACGCACTAAGAAAACAGCCCTTTATTTTGAAATACAATGTTGGCAACCCTAGAGTCTGCCTTCCTGCTCACAAGAATCACTCCTGATTTACACCCGTGTGAGAGGAGAACCTGCTCCGTTATTATTATTTATTTGTATCACAGCTTCATAGGATTTAAGGATAAAAGAGACCATCTGGGCAGGGTTGCCAGATGGTTTCAACAAAAATACTGGATACACTTGACATTACATCACAATCTATATTACATCTTATTTAGAAAATACCGGACATTTATATTTTCTCATTTATATTTTCTCAATTTTTTTCCCTGAAAAGAAAGCTCAAATACTGGACTGTCCAGTTCAAAACCAGACACCTGGCAACCCTACATCTGGCCTGACCGCCTGTACATCAGAGGCAGTTAGCCCCTGCGTACTAAACCCAACACACAGTATCACCTACAGGCCTCAGCTGAGACTAGACCCAATAGAACAAATGCATAATAAGAGACAGGTCTGCACTGGATGGCTTACAATCTAAATAAACAAGATAGACAAAGAGGGAGGAAAGCAAAGGTAAAATGAGGTGAAGCAGCTTTCACAAAGGCACACAACAGATCAGTGACAGAGTCAGGAATAAATCTTTAATCTTATCTTCTGACTCTCCAGCCAGTACCTTAGCCACTAGGCCACATTGCCTCTGGTATCTAGAAAGGATCTATTTGCTGTTCACCTGTGCAAGGCTTTTCAGGATGGAACCCTTGTCATCTGTCACTACCGAGAAAGGTCCATGTAGCACAGTATTCTGACAATGCCCAATGCCAAGTGCCAGGGCTGGCCCGAGGTATTCTGGCACCCCGGGCGTGGGCACGTGGTGCCACCCCCGGGCACACGGCGCATGCGCAGGCCCACCTGTGGGGAGCGGGCCCACCCCCCTAGGGTGCGCAGGCCCACCCCTGCGGCGCATGGCGCATGCGCGACCCGGCTACAGCCGCTGGCACGCAGCCAGGGGTCATGGGATGAGGTTTACTTGGGAGGTCGACAAATGCCTTTGATGTTGACCGCGGAGCGTCCAGACTACCGCGCTGAGCTGACAAACAGCTGATCAGCTCAACGCGGCAGCCCTTTAAATTTAAATGAAGCGGTGATTATTTAAATCGCCTCTTCATTTTCCTATGCCGGGTAGCCTAATCTACATGCCTCTGTCGCTGGAGGCATGTAGTCTAGATGTACCCTCAGTGAGGAAAAACTTCCTTTTGTTTGTTTTAAACCTGCTGCCTATTAATTTCATTTGGTGACCCCTAGTTCTTACATTGTGGGAATAAGTAAATTACTTTTTCTTATTCACTTTTTCTATATCAGTCTTTATTTTAGAGACCTCTATCATATCCCCCCTTAGTCTCCTCTTTTCTAAGATGAAAAGTCCAAGTCTTTTTAATCTCTCTTTATATGGGGTGCCTTCTACACCCCTAATCATTTCATTGCCCTTTTCTGAACCTTTTCCAATGCCAATATATCTTTTTTGAGATGAAGCAACCACATCTGTATGCAGTATTCAAGATGTGGGCGTATCATGGTTTTATCCAGAGGCAATAAGATTCTCTGTCTTATTCTCTATCCCCTTTTTTAATGATTCCTAATATACTATTTTTTTTCTTACTGCTGCTGCACACTGAGTGGATGTTTTCAGAGAACATCTGAATAATTACATTCATGGAGGTTAGGTCCATCAATGGCTATTAACCAGGATGGGTAGGAATGGTATCCCTAGTCTTTGTTTCTCTGGAGGTGGATGACAGGGGAGGGATCACCTGTTGATTACCTTCATTTCATTGCCCTTTTCTGAACCTTTTCCAATGCCAATATATCTTTTTTGAGATGAAGCAACCACATCTGTATGCAGTATTCAAGATGTGGGCGTATCATGGTTTTATCCAGAGGCAATAAGATTCTCTGTCTTATTCTCTATCCCCTTTTTTAATGATTCCTAATATACTATTTTTTTTCTTACTGCTGCTGCACACTGAGTGGATGTTTTCAGAGAACATCTGAATAATTACATTCATGGAGGTTAGGTCCATCAATGGCTATTAACCAGGATGGGTAGGAATGGTATCCCTAGTCTTTGTTTCTCTGGAGGTGGATGACAGGGGAGGGATCACCTGTTGATTACCTTAGGATTACCTGTCGTGATCCCTCCCTCTGGAATATCTGGTATTGGCCACTGTCGGCAGACAGGGTAGTGGGCTAGATGGACCTTTGGTCTGACCTAGTATGGCCATTCTTATGTAACTATCCACAATGACTCCAAGATCTCTCTCTTAGTAGTAGTTAAATTAGTCCCCGTCATATTGTATGTATAGTTGGGATTATTTTTTCCAATGTGCATTACTTTACGTTTATCAACATTAAATTTCATTTGCCATTTTGTTGCCCAATCACTTAGTTTTGTGAGATCTTTTTGAAGCTCTTCACAGTCTGCTTTGGTCTTAACTATCTTGAACAGTTTGGTATCAGCTGCAAATTTTGCCACCTCATTTTATACATCTTTCTCTAGATCATTTATAAATAAGTTGAATAGGATTGGTCCCAGAACAGACCCTTGGGGGACCCTCCTTGTTACCTCTATTTACTCTGAAAACTTACCATTTATTCCTATGCTTTGTTTCCTGTCCTTTAACCAGTTATAAATCCATGAAAGGACCTTCCCTCTTATCCCATGACAATTTACTTTACTTAAGAGCCTTTGGTGAGGGACCTTGTCAAAGGCTTTCTGGAAATCTAGGTATACTGGATCCACTGGATCCTCCTTGTCCACATGTTTGTCGAACCCCTCAAAGAACTCTAACAGATTAGTAAGGCATGATTTCCCTTTACAGAAACCATGCTGACTTTCCCCCAACAAATTATGTTCATCTATGTGTCAGACAATTTTATTCTTTACTATAGTTTCAACTAATTTATCTGGTACTGATGTTAGACTTACCGGGGAAAATCAAACTTTTCCCTCTATCCCAAAGTATTATGATGACAAGGAGATACTGCTTTTCTTTGGAAGATATTTTTAAAACACAGGAGTACCAATATACACTACTTCATGCTGGTTTTCACTATAAAATTATATAATTTCCCGCCACCAAATCACAGTCTTAGTCTAATTAAAAATGTCATACAGGGCGAGTCTTCTAATATAAGAGGTGAAACCAAGTGTCAAATTGCCAGATGGCAACACAGCTACTTTCAAAGCACTGATTTGAGGAGGCTGCTACTTAGAACAATTTGATGTTTGAAGTACTTACTGTATGCCCTCTGTATTTAGAGAAAAAATGAGACAGCTTCCATCCCCACACCCAAACCACTATCTGCAATTTCTCTGACTACCGGGTTTCTAGGGAGTGACTGGTAAATTAATAAGTGAAGTCAGTGCTAACAATACGTGTGGCCCCAGATAAGGCAAAAGCAAATCTTGGGCATTATCCAGTAAATGCCAGCCTTGCAATGGAGAGGAACAGAAATTGCCAACCACTGTTTTTCCTGCAGGGTAATAAAGCTTAGATTTTTAGACCAGAAGGGACCATCACATCCTCTAGTCTGACCTGCCTGTATCACAAGCCACCACCACCCAGCACCTGCTCACCAAAGCCAAACACCCTCTTGTACACTCCATATCCACACTGATTTCTAATGAGAGTGTGGGGTGTGCAAACAATGCAGGGTCAAGCTCACTGAACCAACTTCCCTCCTGGCACAATCCCAGTGGAGTTACAAGAGTGGAGAATGTGACCCCTTATATGCACTGTGTTGTCTGTTCTACTTTGGACAGACAAAAGCA